TCCTGATGACGCCCAGTTTGTGCTCCAGTGGATGATGAGAGTCAAACCTTAGATACTGACCTGTATGTGTAGGTTTACGGTACACATCAGTTTTAGATGTCCCTCATTACTGATGGAGATCTCACAGTCTAAGAAGGCTAACCTGCCACTGTTCATATCCTCCCTGGTGAATTTGATGTGTCGGTCCACCGAGTTAATGCTCCGTTAATGATCCGTGAAAAGTGGTACGTCCTGAGATTTGATTTTCACCCAGGTGTCATCCACATACCTGAACCAATGGCTTTGTGGTGTTCCAGGGTAGGATAGCAAAGCCCTCTTTTCCACTTTTTCCATGTACAAATTGGCCACGATGGGTGAAACTGGGGAGCCCATGGCACACCCATGTTTCTGCCTGTAGGACTGACCCTTGTATGTGAAGTAGGTGGAATGAAGACACAGTTCAAACACACTTGGTCGATGCTGAGAGCGGTCCTGCTGCTGAGGTTGGGGTCATCCTGTAATCTCTTACGAACTACCTCCAACGCTTCAGTGACTGGGATCCAAGTGAAGAGAGATGTAACGTCGTACGAAACCATGGTTTCATCTGCCTCCATGATGACATCTCTTTGATCAGGGCTTTGAAATGTCCTGTTTATAAGATTGAAACCTGCAGTCAGCTGAGCCTGAAGACGTCACCTGGATGAGTGACGAAACGTTTCTCCCACAAAATGCTATGTCCAGATGAACAGAATCAACTTTTGGAGATTTACTTACCTGGATGATTGAGATGCATCAAGACATAGAAAGTGATACATTTTCCAGACTTCTCTAAACGTGTAGTTATGGCAAAAAAAAAAAAAAAAAAATTAAATTGTGAAGTTATATATTTAGTAAACATTGGGCCACAAAAATACTCTCTATGCTAATTATATCAACAGTGCGAAGAGACAGGATTTTAGTCAGAGTAATGGAGTTTGCTCACCAGATGCTGCAGTTGCCATAGTGTCACTCAGCTGGAAACATCAGAGACACTACAGGCAGAAGATACAGAAGTCTCATTGCCATGAAATATTCACTATTTGAAATAACATCCACTTAGGTCCGTTTAGGTAACATAACATGTTATAATATCTATAGGCATTTACATATAAATTGCACATATGCATGCATATAAATCTCATTTTGACTGTGGTTGTCCCGGCTGAAATTTAGTTTTAGATTTGTTAAATCTAAAACAAATATCTAAGTTTTATTTTCTGAATGCTCCAATCCGGTTTGCATGATGCCTTTGAAAAGTTGCAGATTTCTTTTCTAAATATTAAAAACTAAAATAAAAATAAATACATAAAAAAAACTATGTTATTACTGATCTGTCCTCTGGGTGTCTCACTATCCTATTAAAAGTATCAAGCTCATTGAAGCTATATAAACACATGCAGCTTGAAAGTCAAGTGCATGGTGCTTTTCATGGAAACCTTTTATAAACCTCTTCATCAAAAAGGAGAAAAGTGAACGAGTGTTGAGTATTTCAACAAAAATGGACCAGTTCCTATTTATTCTCAGAGGTAAATGGGAAACCTGTGTGTTTGGTGTGTTCACAGAACAGAAAAATATAATATTAAGCAGCACTATAAGATTTATCATAGTACAAGACAATACAATATAACAAAAGAACAGCTGAGAACAGAGAAGATAAACGAGTTGATCGGTGAAGCAGCAGTGAAAGCTATTTACTCGATTGTTAGCGAAACAGCATCAGGTTCAAAGCCGTGCTTTGATGGAGAGTTTGAAGATGTGCTTGCTGTGTAGAACTTGGGTGCTCCGACACCACAGGCTTTTGCAAACATCAGCCTGTGGCAGATAGGATTTCAGATCTTGCTGAAGATCTGGTCATCAAATTAAGCACAAAGTCATTTGTTGCATTTTCAGTTGCGATTGATGAGCACACAGATATTACAGATGTTGCTTAACTTGCCATATTCATTCGTGGTGTTGACGAGACACTGACTGTCACAGAGGAATTCACTGAGTTGGTGCCGACGACATTTATAACTGTCTTAACTGGACAAGGTCGGGGTGGACTGGGCCCGTGCTATCTCTTACCATACTACCCCAAAATGACAGGCTTGTTGCATTTTTGGAACTAATTCCCTTTGTGAGCAAGCCTTTTCTGAAATGAACAGCAACAAAACAAATATGTGTTCCAGGCTCACACAAAAACACCTAAATGAAATTCTGAAACTGGCAACTGCACAGAATTTGACTCCTAATGTCACGGGCTGTTGTGGCAGACCGTGTGTGAGTGAATGAGGACCCAGGCGCGGGCACAGACGAAACTGAGTTTAAATAAAAGGCGAGCCTTTATTATGGCTGATGTCATTGAGTTTAAACAAGGCAAAAGCACAGTGGCGAAACAAACTATAACTAAACTGGGAAACCAATACTGAGATACAAGTATAAAAACTCAGAAAACTATGACTATGAATACAAAGACTAAGACTGTGACAACTATGGCTGTGAAGACATGGAGGGTGGTAACACAGACAACGCGACACAAAGACTAAATACCCACAGGGATGATTAAGGGAAGTGACCACACATGGAAGCTTACACGCATGACAGGACAGGGGAAGTGAAACCAAATACAATGAACAAAGAACACTGGACTCTTTCAAAATAAAACAGGAAACATAGAGGCGTAGACAAGACACAAGGGGAACCTGATAAAACATGAACTAAACTGCAAACTAGGCCTGACTGAATAAATAAGATAACTGAAAAGAAACCGGAATACAGATGGAATAAAAAAGTAACATGAAACTCAGAAACACTGGGTTGCATGTCCCAGGACCATGACCCCTAATACTAATAAAAAAGTTTCCAGGTTTCCGGAGCAGTGAGTACTGTTTCAGTGTATTCTTCCCTGACCAGAATATAATTCTCTAGAAACTGTTGAAGACTGTCAATCAGAAGATTTAGTAAATATGTGTGTCAGCCTCTTTAAAATTCTTTACAAATTGTTTGTAAAGCACAAATAACCAAAGTTGTTTGTACATTTCACTTTAATTGTTATGGCATGATGATGACA